GGGGGCAAATTGTAATAAAGGGTGTGAGGGGGGGAAAGCGAGAAGCGAGAAGCGAGAGACGCGGGGGGGGGGGGCAATGGAAACAAGAGTTAGGCGCGAATGCGAGGCAGCAACGATCAGGATTTGCGGGCGGAGCTGTTAGGGAAGGCGGGGCACCCTTTGGGAGCGAGTGGGAAAAGTAGATGCTGGACGGTGGGAAAAGGGGGGCAAAGGATAGCCCATGCTAGCTCCACCAACCGCTATCGTCCTGCTCGATATTGCGTCCACTGACCCCCGATGCGGATCGCGTCTTGATCTGGTGATCCGAACCGGAGTGGAAGCTGGCGTCGGCACGATAGTCGTCCGTAGAAGCGGGCGCGTTGACCGATGCCCAAGTACTAGCCATCGTGCCTCCCGCTGCTTGCGAAGAGCCAGACTCGTCACTGCTCCACATCGTAAAAGATTTGATCGGTCCGTGCATCGTGCGCAGAGGTCCAGGCCCGGCCTTGCCATTCAAGCTCGCCGAGGCAGGTCCGCTGCTGCGCTCTGCCAACTGACCGCGAAGCTGCGCAGCTTCTTCTCGCGCTTCGGCTAGCTCCCGTTGCGCTGCTTCCAGCTCTTCTCGCGTAACCAGCGTGGCCTGCATCGATACGAGCTCCGCTTCTATCTCGGCAAACCTGGCATGGTACCCAGACACCTCCTCGCGTGCCCGCTGTCGAATAGGCAATCGCAGACGCAAATGTGAGCGTCGATCAGACCCGCACAGCTTTGCTTCTGCTCGCAAAGGCCACACACACTCACCATTTCCGAAGCTTGAGACGTCTGCAAGCGCGTCTCGATCTGCTCCCGATCGGCGACCCGCGACTCCATCTCGGAAATTCTAGCTTTGGCAATGGCGAGCTCCTGCAAAGCAACATGGCAAAGTCAGCAACTGATATCGAGCTCGTGTCACCTGAATACACTCACCGTCTCTGTGGCCCGAAGACGCTTCTCAGCCTCATCAGCTTCACGAAGGCGATTGTTGGCATTTGAGAGATCCTTGGCAGCCTGCGCTGCATTCTGCTTCTGCTTGGCAGACAGTTGATGCATGTTGCCAAGCTTGCTTTCTTGTTCCGACGTGATCTTCTCCAGCGCTGCAATCTCCCCTTCAGCCTTGGCAGCCTTCTCTACAGCCTTTTCTGCGCGGTCCTGAGCAGCCCTCTCTAAGCGCAGAGCATCATCGACACGCGCTTCCGCCTTCTCAGCAGCTTCCTTCATGGTCTTCTCCGCCGCTGTTGCGCGTTCGCTAGCTTCAGTAGCGCGCTTGAGAGCTTCTGCGATGGCCTGCTTCGAAGACTCTTGCTCGCGTGCCCGCTCTGCACGCAGCTCCTCAACGTGAGTGCGCAATTCTTCATTGAGCGCAGCATCCGCATCTCGAGCAATCTCTGCTTGCCGAGCCAAGGATTTGGCCTCCTCTGCCACTCGTTCCGCATCATGTGCGCGCTCTCTCGCCATCGACTCGTCTTCCAGTCGTGATTCGAGACGAACAATCTCTTCCTTCATCGTAGAAATGTAGCCTTGCGATGCGACGAGCTCAGCGCGCAGCTCGTCCGCCTCAGCTTTGCGTTCCGTCGCTTCTCTGCGCGAGTCGTCCAATTCCCGCATGAAACCATCGCGATCTGCATTCAGCTTCTCGGCCTTTTCGGACATTTGCTTGATGTGCACGACAACCTCTTCGAGTCTGTCCGTGATGCTGGCCGAAATGCTGGCCTTGGCATTGTTGATCGCTGCGGGAACGTCGCTGATGCTGATTTGCGTCTCGCGCTGATTCTCCATGATTCGTCTTTGATGTGCGACGATGGGCTCAATCAAAGCAATGACGGGGCTGAGATCCACATCCATCCTCTCGAGGGACTGCTTGCCCACAACGTCTGCGACGTGGCGCACGATGGCGTCTGTGTCGAACGGTTCAGACTTGAGCGACGAGACGAGCGGAGCAAGGCGTTCCAGCGTCAAATCAGCGACCGACGTGCTGTCCATGCGGAGCGTCTCGAGATGCGGAATGAGATTATTGATGAGGGTGACCTGCAAATGTTCCATACCATCTCGAGCATCTGCCAGCTGCTTCTCCCAGCCGGTGACGCGAGAGTCAATGACGGCCTCAAAGGTGCCTTGCATGTCTTGTCGCTCGGAAGAAGCCTTGACTTGCGACTTGACCAGGTGATCCTCCAGCAGCGGCTCCAGCGTGTGGATCAGCTCTTGTCTGCGCTTTGCATCAAAGACACCTTCAATGCCTTCAAGAACGGGCTGCAAGCGTCCGATGAGTAGCATCGAAAGCGTCTCGGTCGCCTCTGGAGTGAGGTCGACTGCCTTTGGTGAAGCGTCCCCCGCAGGTGCAGGCGCAGACGGCACCGGAACAGGCGGGGCAACGAGCCGAGGTGCAGGAATAGCGGCAATCGCACGAGGGATGGCAGACTCGAAGGAAGCCGCCAGATCGCGATGCAGGGTGGCAATCTTGGCATCCAAGACCTCCTGCACAAAGTCAAAGTCCAGCTCGCCTTGAGCGTCGAGAGGACCATGGCCAAAGCTGTGAGCCGAAGGAGTAGCAGCGCTAGAAGCTGGCGCGTCGCGCGTCTCGCTAGCTTTGATCGTCGCCGACGAGTCGTCCGGATCAGGAGCTGCCTCGATGGTAAGGCGTTGAGGCGTGTTCTGAGCCTTGTGCAAGAACGCAGTTTCATCCTTGAACCTATCAAGCCAGACGCTGAAAGAATGCTCCATCTGCTGCGACACCACATCCATAATGGCATGTCTGTCGAGGTTTGGAGCAGGTCGAACCTGTCCCATGATAGTCACCTCGTCCAGGATCTTGCCTGCCCAGGCTTCCATCTCCGAAGCGATTTCTCGTTTCAGTCTGTCTCCGAGCTCATCCACGATATCATCAATCATGCCATCGTCGTCTTCATCTTCCTCGTCATCATCCAAGCTCAGATCTTCCGGATCGGCAGCACCTTGGGCAGCTCGTGCGACTCTGTGATGGCGATCAATGGACTGCGCCAGACTGCTAGCCGAGTCGCGCCTTTGGTGTGAGCGTCTGCCTGCTGCCGCCTGCTGTTGTGCGCGATGCAGGCCCCCAGTCGGCACCGCGACGGGGGGAGAGCGACCGTAGGTTTGCAGGTAATTGAAGCGCGAGTCACGAGCCCACTGCGTGGCGCTCGGCGGTTGCCTGCGCTTAGCACGAGGTTCGTCAACCTCTTGCTCCGACGCGCTCCGTTCATCCTGTTGCGCCAGAGGCTCGCCAAGCCGATGCTGGTCCACCTCATCCGGTCTACGAATCGGAATCGCCTTGCTTGGGACTTTAAAGGTGAAGTCGGACGAAGGAACGCCACCGAGGGCCTGCGTCGACTGACCGTTCTGGTGAGCCTCTTGCGCCGGTCTGCTACCAGGCGGGGCAAAGTCAGGAATGCCAGGTCTTCTGAGTTGAGTCGCCTCTGCACCAGTGCCGAATCCAGCAGCGCCTTTGGTCCACGTGGGCATAAAAGCAGGCACCGAAGGCTTGAAGGCAAAGGTGCCCTGTGTAGGCGCAGAAAGACCAGTGAAGGCAGAAGCCTCTTGAGCGTGATGCAAATGAGCTAAGCTGGACATGGCGCTGGTCGCCGGATCAGGGTTGAATGGTGGAGGCCCAGAGTGGCCAAGTCCGAGCTGATCGCGAAGAGGTCCCTCGATGCTCGCTGCTGACGGGATCGGCCTTGCAGGACTGCTCGGTTCGTTTGCATCTGGATGATCATCAAGCGGGCCAGTATCGCCGCGGAATTTGGGTCTCTTCATGCGGCCTTGGTCTGCGCGTATGAGTTCGGCGTACTGCGCGGCATCGAGATCAGCGGGTGCAGAGTTGGGCACTTGCTGAGGTGGCAGGTGCATTTTTGGTGCGTCGCCCGGAGCGACAAAGGTGAATTGTCCAGGGGTAAAGGAAGGCGCATTGGCGCTGAGCTTTTTCGGCCCGCCCTCTTCGCCATTCTCGAAAGCAGAGCTGCCGCCAAAGCTCGAGTTGTGTATGCTTGGTAATCTGAAAGCGCGATCTCGCGCAGCTTGCAGTGCGCCCTCACTCCTCGCTGCCGGCGCGCTCGCCTGAGTTGGCTGGTTGTCAGATGCTCCGAACTTGAACTCCTTGGCACCAGGGTTGAGCGCAGAGCGAAGGGCTGACCGACCAAGTGTAGCGCTGGAAAACTGCGATTGGGCCGAGGGGCGGTATGCCAAGGCGTCCGGTGCGGAGGAGCCATCCATGGGACCGTGCGGGTAGCGGAAGTCTTGAGAGGCGCGACTGTCTCCTCCATTAGCAAGATTGCTATCGATATGATCGATCCGTCCACTTCCACCAAACGTGCCCCTCTCGTCTTCGTCCGAGGGATTGCTGAGAATGCCTTGATCGGCGTGGACGCGCGCGGCAGCTTGAGCGCGATGCGCATCAAAGCCCCAACCGCTATTGTTATTCTTGTTCTTGGGCTCGCCTTCGCCGAGACTGCTACTTGGTAAAGTGTCTCCAGTGAGGTGACGGCTATGCTGGAAGCTGCGATGCTGTTTAGCTTCTCTAGCTCTTTGCTTTGCAATCTTGCGACCAGCACGAAGCTCTGCTCGGAGAGCTCTGCGCTGCTGCCTAGCCTCGCGCGCAGCTTCCTCGTCCGAAGGATTGCTGTACTGTTCGCCAGAAGGAGTGCGCGAATCGCTCAGATCATCTTCGTCCTCCTCATCATCGTAGCTGAATTGCTCGTCCTGAGCAAAGTCGAGCAGATGACCTTGCTCGCCCCTAGCTGCAAGGCGCTCAGCGTCCAGCTCGTCCAGCTCGTCCACACCGTCCTCATCAGACATGTCGCCATCTTCGCTGGGATTGGTGCGCATGTCGACGTCCTCGGCGTATCTCTGCGCGCGTCGAGCAGCCTCCTCGAAGTCGGGACCCAAAGACATTTTGGATGCATTCCTCGCGTGACCTGTGCCTGCAGATGGGGCCAGTTCGACCGGCTCTTCTTCGCGCGTCTCCATCTCGGCCTCTGGCTCGTCTGGGTCGTATCCGAAACCTCTGCCGAGGTCCTGCCACGAAGCCTTCCCAGCGGTATGCGTTGGCACAGCAGACGCGGACTCTTCCGCTTCCTCAGTCACTTGATCCAGCACGCGAGAGTCGCCAAATGGCGGAATCGCATTCTGACTCGCAGCACGTTTTTGAGCCGCCAGTCGAGCCAGCTCAGGCGGTCCGTCAGAATGACCGCGCTCCATTGCAGGTCTAGAGCCGAGCGCAGGTTCGTCGGGCTTTTCGCCGTCTGAAGCCGCTCTCTCGACATCCTTGCCCAGACCAAGAGCAGTGAGCACCCCGGGACCAAATGGACCGCCAGACTGCGGCATGCTGAGGGACATGGTCTGACTGTGCATTGGACTGCTGCTGCTACTGCGTTTGGCCGTTCCAGTGCCCAGATGCATAGCCGCAAGGTCTCGCAATCTGGCTGGCAAGTTGCTCGACCAGCGCGTGGTGGAAGCAGCGGCGGCAGCAGGGGGCGCGTCGGGCGGATCTTGAACGTTGTCGGCTTGCGATTGGAGATAATTGCTGAGCCTCGATGAGATTACGCCTGGATCGGCGGGGGAAGAGATGGACATTGGATCGCTTGTATACCGAGGCTCCTCGTAGTGCGGCTCCGGTAATCCAAAGGCAGCACCATCGCCTCCTCCAGCGCCGACACCCCAACCGTCGCCTGCTGAGCCGCCTTGCCAAGGAGGCACGAGTTCCGTAGGACTTTCTGAAACGCCCAGCTCTTGCAGCTTCTCCTCCAGTCGACGCTCGCGATAAGCGTCCCAGGCCTGCTTGCCTGGAAGATAAATGTCTATGCTCTCGTAACTCATTTCCTCTACCGGCCATTGCGCGCGAGACTGCATAGCATCGATGCCTAGGGAGACGGCTTGCAAATCGTGCATCTGCTCAGCCGCTGCGTACTCTTCGGCAGAGAGGGGAGACCTCGCGATCCACTTGCTGCGGATCAGTGCAGATGCTGCCGCAAGCGTTGCCTTTTGCTCCACGACGCCTTCTTCAGCTCCATCGTTCTTGGCTTTCTGCCGCGCCTTTTCCGCCGCAGCTTCGCTATCCGCATCCTGACCACCTTCGCGCGGCAATTGCAGCACCACCTTTCTCTTTGGCTTGCCATCCGGTCCAGCAGCTCCTGCAGCTGCCATTGCTGCTGCAAAGGCGGCAGGGTTGAGCGAGACGGAGGGTTTGGAATTGTGCCCAGAGATCTTGATGGGTTGATTCTGCGGCGGCTGTCTTCGACCGCTACGTCCTGGTCTGACAGCGAGTCCACCGCTCGTCGCACCGTTCATGGGCGCGCTGCCCGGCGTGGTGGGTTGACCGAACATAGGCTGAACAGGTGGCTGCTGTTGCTGTTGCCTCATACCGCCTGGCGTGAATGGTCCAGCAGAACCGCTTAGAGGCGTGGGCGATGGCACGTAAGCTCCGGGACTGACTGCAGGTCGAAAGTTCGGACTGGATGCGCCGGAAGGACCGGACGCACCAGGTGCTGGGAATGGAAAGGCAGCTGCGGCGGGATTGAGGCCGCCGCTATTTTGCCTTTGCGCTCCCATGGACATTGGAGAAAGACCGCCAGCACCAGGTGGACCTGGTGAGCCAGCTCTGCCGGCATGCAACTGCGATTGGATCTGTTGTAGCTGGAATGTATGCGCATGCACAATGTCACGCGCGTCAGAAGGTGCACAGAAACACGCACGCATTCCGAACTTTTTCGGGCCTCAACTCAAGACTCACCATATGAGGGGGCATCAAGGAGGTAGGAGCAAATCTTCCGCGTGGAGGCCCCGGTTGGAAAGGCTGGGCAGCGGGCGACATGCCGCTCATTCCTTGGTCAAAGCTACCTCTCGGAGGTCCGGCAGAAGGCGGTGCGCCGCCGAACGAAAAGCTGTTGGCACTGACGGGAGAGTAGCCGCTGCTTGCATGCTGAGAGCCTGGCGCTCCAGGAATCTGGCAAAAGTGGATGAAGCAGGCAGGGGTTCAGCTGACAAGGACTCGGATGAGTGGTGCAGCGCAGTGTCCAGCACAGCACGACTCACAGCGAGATGCAGAGGACTCCTCTGAGGTTGCGCCATCGCAACTGGAGTCGCGAAACCCGCGTACTAGAATTCGAGGTGATGGGGGTGTGTCAGGGTCAGGGTCAGGAGCAAGCTCGGATTGCTGTAAGAGGTATGACGAAATAGAGATCTTCTCGGTGCTTGACAATGCAGCTGCT